CTATATATATATATATATATATATATCATGAAGCTTCTGAATTCTCTACTTTGTAATCATCTAATTTAATTAATGTTAAACATGTTGGTATTGTCACACCAGCCACACAAGGTTTTGCTTTAGAAAACGGCAAACCAAAAATAAAGAAAAAATAAAGTTAATTATTAGGTCAATTGCTTGGGATTCAAATGTTTGAAAGGCGAAAGCTGTTGAGTTAAGATCCAAGACTTTTTCGTGTTCAAGATACAGATTTTAATTACACTTAGGATTGTAATCTCCGTATACCATGTTGAACCAGAAAAACGGACTTGCATGTTACTTATTATTTTCCTTTATTATATCTTTAATTTTTCGCTATATGTTGGAAAATGTTTCTAATAACAAATATAGGACTTTGAATTTTTTGCCAATGATATATCGTACATGATAGTCCTAGACCAAAGAAAATGATAATGTCGCAAGAAAAGTATTTATATATAAAATACAGTAATCTTAAACAAGAGAATACATTTTTGAAGAACTCTACTTATATTGTTCATAATTGCAAAGCAGTCCACAAATTGAAGAACTCTACTGACATTATTATTGTTCAGACTTAAATTATTTTTCATGATGTTTATAATATATTTTCTAAAGAGTTGAAATAATATTCATCGATGGTGTAAAGAATTTTTAAAATATCATACTGATTTAATTTTTGTAGCAGGTAATATTTTTGTATTTATTTTTAAGATTACAAAATTCAATAGTGTGTAAAAGTATGTTGCAATATAAATTCCTTTTTTATATGATCTCTGACTATGTTAGTCTTTTTTTTTTTTAAAGGTAAATGCTTGAATGCATACGCAAGTAGCATTATAATTCGATTGCGGCTTTTACACTGATTTAGCAGGCCATATGCCATATTAAAATCACACGGCCCTAAGAATTCTTAGCAATCTTTGATTTCACACTATTATTTATTTTCGAATATCCAAATCTCACTCATAAATGCAATTGTTTAAACATATATTACTTCTCATATAACTTATAACGGAAGGAAATTACCAACTAGATTATACACCGACCAAAATATTAAGAAAAGATTATTGTAGGGGTAAATCTAAGTTATAATAAAAGGAATAGAGAAGAACAGATAAAAAGATTGCCAAAATCAACCTTTAATTTATTTACTTCCATATACATTTGCAATCAAGTAAAACTAATAAATGTCCTATATATTTTCTCTGAATCATAAATTCGTTCCGGAATTAGCTGCTTCGTTTTTAAGGTTTTTACTTGTAGGAAGATTAGTACTACAAAGCTGTCAAACTTCCAAATACTGTTACTAAGTGTATACGATCGAAATCGGGTTCGTCCATTGTACGACCAGCCGAGGCTGAAGCGTAACAGGTCAGAGCTCGAGATCGGGTTATATCGAACCAACGAGCGAAGTCAAGTAGTTAAGTTCGAGACTCTAGGACCGAACAAGATCGAGGGAACTTGTCGAGCCAAATATTAGAAGGCCAAAATATCGGGGATCAGTTAGAGATCACGGCGGAAATCTCGGCACGTATCAAGGAGAGGCCGATTAATTAGCAAATCATGAGATTTTTTACCTTGTATAGAATTGTACCAAGAGTAGAACACCCCTACTATATAATGGGGGGTCTGATCATTTGTAGCACACATTGTAACACACATAAAGAAAGCAATATACTGATCATTTCTAGTTCTTACCATCTTGTTGTTCAGTTCTAACATTAGTTGAGACGCTTCTTGACATGAGGGTGATCAAACCCAGAGGCTAAGGCTATTCAATTTGTGTGGTTTGCATTTATTTTCTTATCATTAATTTCAATATTAATCTGTCTTCTTAATTTGTATCAAGTTATATCACGTATCCTTAAAGCCGCGTATAAATTCAATTGTTATCCAATTTTAAGGGTAAACAGTTTCGCGGCCACCGTGGGGCTAAGGATAATAGTTATTACCTGGTACAAACTTTCATAACACATACTATTTTACACTTGTTCTTTGAAGTATCTTTGATTCTAGGACTAAAATGTCGAACTCTCAATCGGCACCCCTTCACGTTGACAATGATTTCGGTAACCATGGCGAGAATGATAACATAGCATCAGGGAACAACGCACCCCCGGTCGATCTCGATGGAGTTCCGGCTGTAGATCCAATAAAAGTCAGCTCACATGTAGCCATCAACGCAAATTTGGTCGTCGATCCTGAGGGCAGCGTCTGTAGGAATGTTCGATCAGCCGCTCAAAGCACTCATGGCGGCGAGGATGGCGGGATCAACCTGCGGCTAATCTTCGAAATATTGCAGGCTCAACAAGCAGCAATAACCCAACTTCAAAACCAAAATCACCCACCGAGCAAGATCGAGCCCAAGCCGTCACAGGAAGTTGTCCACAGGGTCGAATCGGTTTCAAGGAAATCGAACGAGAAAGAGTCGGTGGCCGATCCTGCAATGATGAAGATGCTCGAAGAACTGAAAAAATGAATTGAGTGGGGGGAAAAGAAGATCGAGGTAAATGACAAGAAGGTGAAAACTTACAACTCCAGGGTCAATCCCAGGGGGCACTATCGATATTGAAGGGTCTGGACTCTTAAAAGTTCGTGCAAAACCTTTCCCCCTGAACGCAGTTCCGAAGCCGATCCCCAAGAAGTTCTGCATGCCCGAGATTCCTAAATACAATGGAATGACCGATCCAAACGAGCATGTCACCTCTTACACGTGTGCTATCAAAGGGAATGATCTAGAGGATGACGAGTTCGAATCTATCTTGCTAAAGAAATTTGAAGAGACCTTGTCAAAGGGGCTATGATATGGTACCACAATTTACCACCTAATTCTATTGACTCATTTGCTATGTTTGCAGATTCTTTCATAAAGGCACATGCCGAGGCTATCAAAGTTGAAACTAGGAAGTCAGACCTTTTCAAGGTAAGTCAGAAGGACAACGAAATACTCAAAGAATTCGTGTCTTGATTCCAAATAGAACGGATGGACCTGCCATCGGTTGCTGATGACTGGGCTGTTCAAGCTTTCACCCATGGACTCAATATTCGAAGCTCGGTTACTTCACAACACTTGAAGTAGAATTTGATAGAATACACGACTATTACTTGGGCCGATGTGCATAATCGGTATCAATCGAAGATCAGGGTCGAAGACGATCAATTTGGGGCTCCTTCTGAGTCCATTTATCCTATCAGACCCGTCGATAGAATCAAGAGGGATATTAACCGAGAACCGAGGTTGAACAGAGATCGTAACCAACCATATAATGGAGATCGTAGGAGTAGCGGATATGGACAAAATTCTGCACGAAATGAAAGAAGAAGTGATCGAGGCTAGAGCTCTTGAGAGCTCATGAGCAAGAACGACTTTGATAGGCCTATCGGACCTAAAGAAGCACCACAATTATCAGAGTACAACTTTGATGTTGATGTAGCTGTCATCGTATCGGCTATCGGACGTATCAAAGATACCAAATGGCCTCGTCCTTTACAAACCAATCCAGCCTAAAGAGATCCCAACCAAATATGAAAATATCATGGCACTCATGGCCACAGAACGGAGGATTGTCGACAATTGAGATAAGAAGTATCCCAGCTATTCAACAACGGGCACCTTCGGGAAGTTCTGAGTGACCGAGCCAAGAATCATTTCAAAAGCAGGGATTCCAATAAACAAAACGAGCAAGACAAACCTCAACACGTCATTTATATGATCATCAGAGGGGTCGATGTTACTCAAGGTCCAATGTTAAAGCGCATCAAAGTATCAATCACAAGGGAAAAACGGTCCCGAGATCACACACCAAAAGGAACTTTATCTTTCAACGGCGAGGATGCAGAAGGGATCATGCAGCCCCATAATAATGCACTGGTAATATCTGTACTCATGAAAAAACTCGAGTTAAACATGTGTTAATTGATCTAGGTAGCTCAGTAAAGATCATTCGATCGAGGGTCGTAGAGCAACTCGGCCTAACCAAATCATGCCTGTGGCCCGAGTGCTAAATGGATTTAACATGGCTTGCAAAACTACTACAGGAGATATAACATTATCGGTAAATGTAGCCGGAACCACCAATGATACCAAGTTTTATGTGATCTAAGGGGACATAAGGTACAACGCCCTGTTCAGGAGACTGTGGATCCAT